GTAACTCGACGGGGACAACCGTACCGACGGCCGTAACAGCTCACATCGATAGGCTACATGTTCATTTTCATACATAGATCACACCAAATTTTCAACACAATTAAAACGCACATATGCATAGAAATTTTAGAATAACTAACCCACCTGGAAATTTCGGATTGACGATAGCAAATCAGAAAAGATGTGGTTCGAGGCTTGACTCCTCAAATATTTACATTATGTCAAGATCCTACAATCAGTATCTTGACTTAATCGGAAAACACAAAACAAACCTAGTCGAACTTGTTTCGACTAAGTAGTTCGTGAAGTCCTGTGGACGTTGGAACACTAAGACTCGATACTAAACTCGACCAACCAACATAAGGGAGTTCACATAAATCCATCTAAAGATTGACCAAGTCAAACTCACATCAAAACGAGAAGCAAGTCAATCACAAATTTAACTTCAAAATCATAGTTTAAAAATTACTAACTATTAATCACATGAAATTCATTGACCAGGTTGCCCTTCGACTTAGGCTCTGAAATTTTACACAAAATTACATCTTCCAGTAATAAGTAAAACCATAAATTTTCAGATTTAAACTCAAGGCACATTTATTTATAAAATTCCTACGAGAAATCAGCAAAAACACACATGAATTCATATCCAAACCAAATGAACGATTCAGGACTTAAAAATTTAACACAACAAGCTACAGCATGATAGAGACAACATGTAAAAATCTCAGCCCTGAACATTAACTGTGATAATTTTAAAAATTCATGCAAGATTCTGCAGTTATCGAATTTAAATCAGAACAGGATTAAAATGAACTCCAAAAATTTTCATCTTTTAACATCATAAATATACACTCAAAATAGGCATCTCAGTAAAATTTCGGAATTTTTCACCAGACAACCGATTTATAAAAATTCAAACTATTTTCAGCAAATTCGATAAATAAATTATTAACCACATCAAATCTACTCCAAAATTTCTAAAAATTTAACACAGCATATAAACACATCAGGGGCACAACATATCAAAATTTAAGCTCATTTGAATCACGAACCAATTTATTAAGCATTAACCAATTTTCTGATCAGAATTCACTTTAGTTATTAAAAATAGCTACCGGCCTCTACAAATTACGAAAGTTTTACACAAGGATGGGAATGAACAGATAACATATCCCTCAAAATTTCAAGTCATTCCGAGTAGTGTGCTATTTTTAAAAATTCAAACACCAAAACAGCGACATATAAGCTCGACAATTTAACAATTAATTCATAACACGAAATTTCTCGTCCGAGGCTTTCTTATAAGGCCAAGGACTCGACATCGTTCCAATATCCACTGACTTACACGACTTTCGAGGTCTCGTTCAATTTCTCATAATTGAAGAGATCCCGAACAACATAAACGACACATAAAATCATAACGAAATACATAATCACACATATTCACGTCTCGCATTTCATATGTTTCAATGAGCACTTCACGACAATACACATAACGAAATAAATCATATATGAGTTGAACGAGACGGAATCGACGAGGTACCGTTCTCGGGAAAAACTCGGAAAACGAAACGAACACGAAAAGGCGAGCACGAGGCTGATGCTCGACGGCACGCATCGTCTCGCGAGGGAAGAGCTGCTCGTCGCTGAGGTGCTGCTGCTAGGTCGTCACCGAGGAGCTGCGCGGTACTCGGGCTCGACGGCTCAGCCCCACAATAGTGCTCGTCGCTGCTGCTCGTGAGTCGTCAGCTGTCCGCTACCGGACGACGGGCTGCTTCCATTGCTCGAAAGGAAGCTGACGGGGTGCCGCTGCTATGCTCGAAGGTCGTGAGAACGGGGATTCCTGCTAACCACGCACGGCTGCAGTCGAAAGGAAAAATCGAACAGGGGCTGTTTCTTACTCGCGGCGTGGCTCTACTCGCGTGTCTATGGTGTTGCCAGCGGTCGCAAACGGAGGTGCTGGTCACGGCAAAAAGCCTGCGCGCGGAGGGCAGCGGCTCGCCGGAAGTTCGCAGTGGAGGAACTCGCGAAGGAGGGCTGCGGAAAATCGTTTGGTTCATGGTGATCTGCTCACGGACAGGGACGGCCGAATCACGCGGCGTCGACAGGCTGAGGCGCGTGGAAAACTCGCCGGAGTTGTAGGCGCGCGGAAGAGCGACGGCGCACGGTGAGTATTGCAGCAGCGGTTCGCGATGGAGAGCCGTCGGCGCTGCTTCACGTCGAGGTTTGCAGGGCGGCGGTCGACGAGCAAGGGGGCGGTGACCTGTTACTAGCGAGATGAAGATGGTGATGATTGGCGATCAGTTTTTCCTTCTATCTGCCGCGAGCAAAAGAGTGAGAGGGAGAGAGAGATTGAGAAGGCTGCGGGCGGATTGATCGAGAGAGATTAGGGTACAAATTAATAGATTAGGTTTTATTTGTTCCTTAAGACACACCAAAGAGATTTGGGTCGGTTCGGGTTATTGGGCGAGAATATTAGGGCTTTTCCGGGCCGATAATACTTGAACAAAAAGGGCGCGAATATTTAGTTCTTATGGGCTGAAAATAATAGGGCTCGATTCTGGGTTCTCGGGCTCGATTTAATCGCGTGATAAAAAAAATAACAACCGAATAATATTTATTTACTACATTTATTATTTTAAAATAATAATATTAATAATTAAAAATATACAATTAGGCAATTAATTACAATTAGGCAAACAATAATATTTAGACATTAAATAACGACAATAATATTAATAATATCACAATAATAAATATCATCAATAATAATAATAATAATTCTCAAATAATCCACAAATAAACGGGGCGCTACAATAGGTCATACAACAGAATATCGTAAGGTTTCATTTTTGCATCCAACAAATATATTCTTCCACGGGGCTTGTCCTATCAAGACGAAATTTGGAGAAAATAATCACCGGCGATCAACAAACCCAGCAGTGCAGTCGCACTGCCTCACGCCACTACCGATTTAATCGAAACGCCGCTCCCTAACACCCGAGACACGCCCTGCAGGCACATTGCAAGCACGCAACGAAACCGCAACGCACTCACGCGACACAGCCGCACGCAAACGCCAGCCATTGCACAGATGCCCAGCACGACCAAGCACCCGCCAAGCCAGACGCATGCAGTGACACGAGTTTAACTGCACACACATAGTGACGTGACGAGCACACCTGCGGTGACTCGACGTCCTGGACAAGCTATGACTCGACGACTTGACGAGTAGGCTCAAGAACATGTCTCAAAACCGTTCGTCCAACCCCGTAGGCTGTGTAAGTTGTCTCACAATTGATTTTTTTTTTAAACATTAAGTCCTCCTCCTAACTATACAGTCCGATGCGTTGGGATTCATATTGATAGATTTGTTGTGCATATCGATGATGTTCCTCATAGAATCAAACAGGAAAGGTTTTTGAATATTTTTGGGATTCTACTTGGATCCACAGTCTTCATTCTTTTTAAAGTTGTTTTTCAGTTTCATGAGGATAAGGATAGTATCACTTAGGATAGATATCTAATTGGCCAGAATAGGTGAGAAAGAGATTAACACTTGGTTTAGCAAACTTTTAACCCAATTGCAGCACAGACAATCCTCAAGATAGCCTTAAGTGATCAGGGGTTAATTTATCTCATTCTAGGAGAGCATTGGACTCAACTGAGGCTAGCAAAACTCAAATTTCCCTTCAGGAAATGTGGAAGATTACATGGAAGCTACCAATCAAGAAGAAGCTAAAAAGCTTTGAGAGGATTAAGATCACATCTTTTTCAGGTGCCAAAATGTAGTAAAATGCAAGAAGCTATTAGCGGTTAGCTGGACTAGATTGGAGGATAAAAGTTTAGGCTTTAGATGCTGGTGGGATGAAACTTGTAATATTGTTGATGCCCAATTCCTCAAAGATAGAATAAGTCTTTTAACTTATTTTATGGGTGGCTATGGAAAACTAACAATAGTTGGGTGTATGAGAGAAAATGGAGAAGAAGGAAGAAGTTGTCGAAGGTGCTACAGAGGAAGGGTTAGAATTCCTAGCAATCAAGGGACGATATATTGAGAGGTCTTAAGGAAGAGACAACAGGGTGGTAGATGGGCAGCAATTCTTATATGTTAGTGCTTTCATTTCTTTTGACGGTATGGTAGTGTTAGAGTATATATTGAAAACTTGACTTTAGATGTTATTTACATTATTTATGTTAAATGAGAAATCATGTTTGATTAAAACAATTCTATGTTCTGTTGTTTTGTATGAGGATAAATGGTTTATCGCGATGGACAGAAGATCATCTGTAAGTAGATGGACCCAAGATCATTTATTAGAAGCTAGCAAAACATAAAGAAATTAGTTCACAACCTAGATAGAAATTGAACAAGCCATCGGAACGGTTATAGTGGAAACGGTACAGTTGGTTTTGAGTGATTAATTGCACTAATATATTTGTGCATTGAATGGATCTCGGAGAGGAGCAGGTCGTTTTATACTGATCGTCGTAAACGAACTAGGTCTTGGTTCATTACTGCATTCGCTTAACCCGTAAGATATAAACACGCACATGTATGTAGTAGTTACTACTTTAATTCATCACGGTGAGGTTTATTCTTTCTGGATCAATAACTGGTTTAGTTGGTGAGTTGTTAAAATATTTATGGTCACCATGTGCCTCAGTTTGATGATGTCTCCGAAGTGAGCTGAAAAAGATTAGTAAGTTAAATCCTATAGGTGAATTAAGTTCCGAAATAATAATAATGATTGAATGGTTCTATCTTCGACACAAAAGATCAATTGATTTGATTATCAGTAATCAAATCGATTGATGGAGATGGACATTATATCTTAAACATGGGGAGATAATTCGAGTAATTATAAATCAGAGCTCAAATCATAATTTAGAAATTAAATTGGGAGTTTCAATAATACTACTTTAGTGCAATGACAATATTATTCATATATGAGCGGTGTGGACTTGACCCACAGTTAGTCCCATATATTGGAAGCCTAATTTAATGCGTCTTTAGGGTCCCTATTGTAGCCTATATGTACACCATAACTCTTGGGATTGAGAGACATAGAGACGCACGATCGTGAGTCGGTCCTAGTTCCCCCAATCGAATCCTCTCCAAGCTTGTTGCCCATGAAGACAAACCGGAGAGGTGTTGGGTAATACAACAGAAGGCTCGAAGGTCGTCCGAGCAATCGACAACCACAGTCCGTTCGCGCCCGGCGAAGCACGCTGCCGTCACGAACGCCCAGCCGCGGACGCACGCAACCCGTGACACACGACAAACACACTACAACTGCGCGGCCCAAACGCCCGCAAGCTGCACCGCGATGCCCGGACAGACGCGACGAACATCTGCGCATCCTAGCCGAGTCGTTCGACCCGCACAATCTCCTGGCGACTCCGAGCTTTCGACGAAGTGAGTTTTCCGGCCAAGTGGAATTAACTAACCTCCATCAAAGGAAATCTACAACGTCTTAGAGTCTATAATTTACAACGATCTTCACCGATCCCATCAGGTGGGATTGAGAGGAACAACATCAAGAAGAACTGAAGTATTGTAGGAATGAGTTGTATCTAGGGACTTCTTTGGAAGTCTTATGGAGGTAATTTAGCAAGAAGGTGGATGTTGAAGAATGCTTTGAAGTTGAAGTGTAAATCCTTAAGCTGTCTTTGGCTAATAACGAAGTAGTGGGAGACTCAACAGGAGGTGTGGCTTTGATTTTGTTCCTGGTATTTTGGGTGAAGACTTATTATTTGATTTTTGTGTATTTGTTTCGGATTGTAGTGCTTGTTGAATAGTAATTTTCTAGCCAAAATGGCTCTTGAGGGGAATTGATGATTGTTCTTTCCCTGTTGCCTATCTTCTCCTTCGTGTGTGTTGGAGTTGATAGTTCTTTTAACTAGATATGTACTCGGTGTACACTTTGGCCTGAGTTTAATACAAGTTGTTTGGTTGCCGTTTGTTAAAAAAAAAAAAAATTTAGAAAAAAAAAATGAATTGCCGAAAAAAAAAAAGCACCATTTCCGCATATTTTAGAACCAAATTTGCAACATTCTCTAGGATGATTTGCAATTCTAATTCAAATTGAACTATTTTTAACACATGGGGTGTAGTAACGTTCATGGTTAGAAAAACGTGAAACACAAAAACTAGCACAAGATTAGATGTCCTGAAAACACAAGCCGTTCGAGAATAAATGCTAAATTACCACCAACATTGGTTCGGACCTCCCTACATAAGTTACATGTCACACTGTTCACCATTCCTATCTAACTACTCTGAGTTACTGCATCTGCAACACCAAAATGCTTCCCAACTAAGGAAGTTTGATAGTAATCTTACCTGTCAAAGTACATGAAAAGAGCGTGACTTTAGACAAATCCTGTTAAATATCGTTGTGAAATTTAGAATGCCCTCAAACTAGATGATTCAGTAAAACATATATACCCCAATAATATCTGCATTTAAAAGGCACTTAAAAAAAGAATGTTCACAGGATTTTGTTGTGTATGGTTGTAGATGGTGGCCAAAATAAAATGAAATTAATTAGAGAAAAGTATAAGTCAAAAACAACATACAGGGTAGTCTCCATCTTGTTGCTCATAATCACTTATTTTCTTTTCTTTTTCTTTCAAGTTCCGGTGAAAAAAAAATGTACTGGTTTAATGAATACATATATATAGCTTTAATGATATGTTAAGCACAATTATTTGCAAAATTTGGTGATTCCTTGGTTATTCCAAATCAACAAATTCTCGAGCCACACAAATTACCTTATAAAGACTCGACTTGCCAATGATCAACATTGTTCATTTTTTGTCATTGGCTGCATTGCCAGAATGATCAACCCTTATGATGTAGACCTGGAATATAAAAGACATTAATAAACTGTTACTTAAATTGTGCAATTCAAATTCAGCAAAGAGTTTCGGAAAACGCAAAAAAGTTTGAGCCATACTCGAAACACGGATGGTTTGATCAACTGGAAAACAAGAGCATCCCCATCAACCAAGTTGTGATCAATTGAGAACTTTTTCCAGCCACCGCTAAGCCCAGTTTTACGAGCCAAATAGACAACGGGCCACTCGTCCCCTTGCTCGTCTACCAATTGGATCACTCCATCATTCTTAGGGAGTATCCTCTTGCAGTAAGACATAGAAAGGCCCTGCATTTTTTGAATCATATATAAATAAATATGGATAACTATAATTGTTTTTTTTTTTTTTTGTNGTTTTTTTTTTTTTTTGGTTCTCTCTCTTCTTTCAAGTTCTAGCTAGTCACAATGAACATATAAACATACTTTACCTCAGATTTACAAAATTTTGAATCCAAGTGAATCTCGAAGCAGAAAGTGAAAATGTGGATGGAAATCATATAAATTGGAAATCATAACATTGTTTCTAAAGTGGGACTTGTATAAATTAGTCCTAGCCACAAAATAGAATCTGTGATACATTATACCCAGAAAATGATAGGCACTCACTAGCCAAAAACCTCCGCTAACGTGAGATGGGAGCATGGATCTCACAAAAGTCGGATGTTCGGACCCGAGACTTGATTCCAATTTCTCTGCTTTTCTGATTGCAAATTCCCTTGCTTCATCCGAAGCATAAACCCGATTCGAAAAATCCCTCGGCCTTTGAGTTACTCTATTCAGGTTGCAAATCACAACAATTAGAAATGCATATGTATTATAGCATTTTTCAGAATGTAGTGTTTGAACCAATGTCAAGACCATACCTTCGAGGAATCTGAATTCGCTCATAAAACGTCACCTGTGAACATATATAGATCAATAGAAAAAGCTCAGAAAATTGGGTTTTTTTTTTATTTGCAAAAATTCTTTTGTTATTTTCTTTTTAAGAAAAAGGAAAAAAAAAAGCAAAGAAATGAGAAATTGAAAAAACCTCTTTGAACTGCGGAGCTGATTTGTTGGAAAATCTTAGTGATCTTCGGACAGGGACAAGCTGTGTCTTGGAAACTCGGGGTTTTGTCTTCTTCATCTTTATGTTCATCAAATCCAAACAGGAAAAAGGGGTTTTTTCAAATAGCATACGATAGTGCGAGAGAGAGAGAGAGAGAGAGAGAGAGAGAGAGTACCGGGGAGGGTTTAGGAGAAGAAGCATTGAGGAGTGTTTGAGAGAGAAGCGGGAGATGGAGTTCCTCCATTCTCTTCTTGTTCTCTTCCAATCTCTTCTGCCGCACAGCCTCATACCTCGCTTCGCACATCACCATTGTTTCCACAATCCAACTCTGCAAATCTTGATCTTGAGGGAAGAAGACGATAGCTGAAAAGAGAAAATCAAATTTATTTTTCTATTCCAATTTAACCTTAAAAAGTGGCCCTTTATTTGTTTCAAAAATTTGACCGTTGGAATCCCACTTATCCTGTGCCATCAACTGTGGAGATTCGTGTCTGCTGTTTTTATTTTTTATATTATTTTTATTGTTACTATTATTATTTTGTATAATTTCAAAATTAATATGCTTTTTAGTTTAGTTGTTATAAAATATTTTAGGATGAAATAAACCCTTTTGTTTATCAAACATGCGCCTTTCCTCTTATATTTTGAAAAATTAAACGAATTCTTTTTTCGTAATTTTTAATAAATGTTGCACAATTAAGCTAATTTTGTCAAAATAATGCCGGTAAATGATACACGCAAGTATTTTTCATTCTTTTATTTCTAAAACTTATTCTTATTCAGTATATAGTAGTTAATTATTAAACTCTGTTATCATATAATGTCATTATTATTTATAAAGTTATACAAGTTGTACGTCTTCTTGGCCTTTTTATTTTATGTAATGAAATATATTTAATGCACGTTGGTATTATTTATATAAGTAATCAATTTAAAATATGTAAATAAATTTAAAATTAAATAGTGTATAAATAATGTACAAAATATACGCATATATTTTTTTAGAATTTAATTTTGTATACTAATTAAACAACTTTGATTTAAGAAAAGTCATGAACTCAATCTCTTCTAATATCAATATTTTTCTAATTTGCATTGTAATGATTATTCTTATTATATATATAGATTAAAATTTTTGCGACACCAAACAAACTAAATATCACAACAACCAAGTAACAATTATGAAAAAACTCATAACACAATAACTATCAATTAAATTTGGTAATAGAAAAATTACATACATATATAAAAATATGAGGATTCTATATTTCTATTAACTGATGTATACACCACGTGTATATTTTGTTAAGGTATATTGAAATGTTCAATTTCATAGCATGATAACAATCAGTCTTAAAAAATCGAAAATCTTATTGAAATGCCATACTTTTATGTTAAAAAAAAAAGTTCCCATAAAAAATAATTATATCATAGCAAATTCATTGTGTAATTGAACAAATTTCTATAATGAAGCCCGATTTTCTGTACAAAAATAAAGCAACAACTTCCACATTTTAAGGAAATCAATTAATGTTGATTCGTTTTTGCTAAGAAAATAATAAATAAATAAATTATAATTAATAGAAAGTAATTAATGATGAGAGAATTTGACCATATCTATTTTTAAAAATCGTAACAGAAAAACAAATATTAAATAAAACAGTATAATATGGAAATAGTAATGACAATAAATGTTGTTGACTTTTCTAGCTACTAAATTTGGTAGATAGGACTCCCTTTAATATAAATATAGATTTTATGAAAAAATCGTTTTCTAGGAATTCAAAAAGTCTGATTGACCAAATGTGCGAAGAGTTTTCTGCTTTCGTATATTGGAAATTGACATTGGATGGAGTCGTAGACGTGTCTTTTTGCCTCCCAATCATGTCATAAATTCATTGTTCTGGTTTTCAGAGTAAGGGCATGGACATGACTAATTTATTTGATTGGAGTTGTAACGCCCCACTTTTCGTACGTTGAAATCAATTGAAAATTCAGAGTAAATTTTTCTTTGAAACAATACTTGGAAATCTTTACTTAAACTTAGGGCGTTACTAAAATAAACTTACTTGCATTTGAAACTTAACTTACATTTCGCGAACAACTCATGACTTTGTCTTACTTTGAAAACATTAGACATAAAAGATAAACTTTCCATGGCAATGCCTTGAGGGCTTACATGTGACCTTGGCTTAACATTGAACTTTGCATATCGATGACATACACTTTGCTTTAAACATGAATATTCCATAAAAACATAACTAATTGCGGAAACGTAGAAACTCGAATCATATTATAATTCTATGACTATGTGACCACCCTCGCCATCGCTCCAATGCCAGCTCGCCATATACCTGGGTGTGGAAAACAAATAGGGTGTGAGCATTTCCACTTACTCAGTGAGAGATCCTTCTAAGTTACCATCCTAACCAACTATCATGCATGAAATCATTAGGTATACTCAACATAATCATGAGCTCCCGGCGAGTGGTTGCCCACAAGTCGAAAGACTTTCTTGCTACTACAACCCTATTAGACAACTAAACACTAAAGTCATAGCACGCACGTGAGTACACTATCGTCACACTCCCACCCCTCGTCAAACTCCTTATACCACTTTATGGTGGTGGGAGAACATTGCCTCTCGCGGCACGGCCAACTAGGCTTGACGAGAGTACCACCCGTGGGGTTGAAGGAAGACAGCCCTCATCATGGCTCCGTACAGTCTTATCGACGGGGACAACCGTTCGAAGTGTGCACCAACGAAGGTTACATGCACGCACTTACATACTCTAACCCTAGCATCTAGCCACCCTCTAGAGTTATAATCCGTGAACCTTGGTACTGCAACAAGCGACTTGCTCGAATGTTGGAACATTGTATAAACATGGGTACTATGCAAGCTACTTAACTTCATTCAAAACATAGATAATCAAAAAGGATAAATAACGTAGAACTTCCCCCACCTTTTTTTTTGGAATGCTCGACTTAAAGGCTTGAACTTGAAAGAACCTGAGGGCTCGACTCCTCGATAACTACATTCATTGGGGCATGTCTTAGAATCTTATCATGGCTTAACTTAAACTCATACTTACTCTTATACATATACGTGAACTTTGAAAACTTGCTTGCTCGGCTTCGCCTTGCTTGCATACTTTGAAAACGTTTGTTTATGTTTAAGTCTTTTCGATTGGTTGATAACTTAACTTGCTTAAATTTTATCACATAGGGAATTGAAGGATCATATAAACTTCAAATAGCATGACATGGATCAGTTATGCCACATAAACATGTCTTTAAACAATAACAATCAAATTTGGAATTCCAAACATGAGCTTATACAATTTTCAGCATGCGCGATGAACTTAGAATGCATGTAACTTTCAGTCCATAGGTCATATCATGATTATTCTAATTGGAAATTATCCCTAACTCATGACTCTACAACTTTCATGATGACAACTCAAACAGATAACGTCATTTAAATGCACATAATATAACAACCATCAAATTCATAGACGCAGTCAACGATTGAAGTAAAACAGCTGACAGGACTTCAGTAATTGCAAGATAAATGAAGCTACAGACATGATTTTCATAAGATTCAAAAACCACAAGATAGCCAACTTAATTATCTAAAACTTTCCTAAAGACCAAATTGGCAAATAATGATATTATCATCGAGTTTCATCTTGAAACATTCAGATTATATAAACTGCCAGAAATCAACTTATATTACATACAGAGACTCAGTAATTTTCATGTATCTCGAGCTATAGGTCATAAAATAATGAAATTCCAGAGCTTACAGAAACTACACACATATGGCTACATATCTCATGAAGACCATTTTCACATTTGAGCATGTTTGACACATCAAAGTCAGTCATACATTAAAGGTATATTCTGAGTCCTAACTTCATAAAAACTGGGCACATAACTGACTTGTAAAAATCATATAAAATCCATATGAACTCCGATTTCCAAAATTCCAAAGCCTACTGAAACCATACACAATTTTCCACATATCATCTGAAGAACACATTCCCAAGAAACGAGTTCTTGGTCGCCAAAAACGGCTCACAACAGAGGCCACGAAACAGAAATTTCAGGCACAACTTCAATAGATCATCATCAATAATCATTCAATTCAACATGACACATAATTTTCATTAAGCAAGCTTTATTATCAACTTCTTAGACATTAAACATACTTTAAAATTATCAAATTGTCCAAGATCCAACTTGGTCTTTCATTAAATATAAAAGAAAATCATTGAATCTTATATAATTCTCTAGTTATTTTACATATCTTATCATGATTTATTAAGATTATGAACATTAAATTCAGCCCAAGAATCGAAAAGAGGGTTTACCGTGCTCGGGAAAAAGAAGAAAAGAATGACTCGTGAAAAAGCTCGGGCTCTTGGCGGTAGGCTTGAACGTGTGAAGGGATGTAGTTTTTCTCTTCTTTTTTTTTTTTTGTTGCGAGCGTGCGTTCCCTTTTTTTTTTTTGAAGATGAGATTTTTGGATCTTGTGAAATAATTAGCGTAGGGAAAAATAAATCCCATGAGGGAAGAGATATATTTATACAGCTAGGTTTATAAGACTTGGATTAGGAAAAGGATTCCTAAGACTTGGATTAGGAAAAGGATTCCTATTTTCCATGTGTGTGGGATTCTTTTTGGCTTGGTGATCAAGACAAGATTTTTCTCTCTTATCTTTTCTCACACCTCACGTTTTTTCTCTCCTTAGGGCCGATTTTGGTGCTCAAAATCTTAGATTAATACTTCTGCTAATTACTGCTAAGGTTTTAATTAATAAATTAATCTATCCCATTAATATAATAAAAATTATATTAATATTATGACTATTTAATACTTAGGAAAATTAAATAAATGAGGACATCTAAATAATTTTTCCAATTATCAATATTTATAATTAACGAGTGTAGACACTCACTTAATCAATACATAAAAATCGAGCTCAATAATAAAATAAAATAACATTAACATTAACATTAATTAATTTATCATGAGAAATACTAAATATGCATAAAATGAATGGCACGAGTTCGGGGCGCTACATTCTAACCTCCTTAAAAATTTTCCGTCCCCGGAAAAAGTTCTTATTGCTAGAGTTGATCAAACTTATTCTCTTACGATATTCCTAGTTACTATCTTGGGTTGAGGGTGGAGCAAAGAGACCCTCGTCATCAGTCGGCTCACTATCATTAGATGTCTCTCCGGTTCCTAACGGCACTTCTCTTTCTTCCCACAGACGCCCGAGTTTGATCACAAAGTCATAAAAGTTAACCAAGTCTTCCTTCTTCTTGTTTCTAACCCTCATACCTTCCGTCAAAAGCTCTATGTAGAATCTGTTGGCGTTAACCTTCCATGCTGTTGGCAATGCAGTAAGTAACTTCCTGCAGCCATCCCAATTGGTGAGTGCATCGTCCTTACGCCATTCTC